CCTGTCTCTGTGTCTGCTGCAGCGGAGAGTCGGCACTTCCCAGAGGTGTGCCCTACGCTGAGCACATTGGAGTAGTTTCCGTCCGTGACCAGTGTGCTAGCAATGAGATACTTGAGCTGCTTGCCTCATGGACTGAAACGCAGAGATGAAACGCAGAGTGGGGAAGACACAGATCAGTGGCCCCACAGCTCTGGTACAATACCGGGAGGGCTAACGTAAGTGTCACTGGGAACTCGGAAGGAAAAGGGGAGAGAGTGAGGAAGACACTGGAAGAGGGACTAGCGGGGAGTTTCTGAAAGAAAGCTGGGCTTGAGGGCACAGATCCAATCCCAGAGGATGACAACCCTGGAAAACATCAAACAGTCACACAGACAAGAGCCACCTGGGCACTGTCTGCTGAAAATGAGAGACTGAGAGGGAAAATCCAGAAAAAAGACACAGTGCATCTAGAGCAGCGGTTCTCAGCCTTCCTCACGCCGGGACCCTTTCATACAGTTCTTCATGTGGCGTGACCCCCAACCATAAAATTACTTCCATTGCTACTTCATCACTGTCATTTTGCTACTGTGATGAATTGTCATGTAAATATCTGATAGGCAGCATGTATTTTCATTGTTACAAATTGAGCATAATGGAAGCATAGTGATTCATCACAAAAACAGTGTGTAATTATATATTGTGAAATGTTTATTTCTAATAACAAATGAAACTTAGTCTTGGAGCATGGTCTGCACGCGGGTACTCATCTGTGGGTGCATCTGCATGTGGGCGGACTCGCCTGCCGACAGATATGGGAGCGGGGTCTCGGTTCCTAAGACCCTCGGAAATATGTGTTTTCCGTTGGTCTTAGGCGACCCCTGTGAAAGGGTCGTTCGACCCCCGAAGGGGTTGCGACCCCCAGGTTTGAGAATCTCTGCTCTAGAGGAACAAAGATGATCATGGCAGCAAATCCCGTCAGCCAGCAGACAGAGCAGTGACAGCTTTGAAGTGTCGAGAAAGAAGAAGCC